TGACTATGATTCGGTAGTCTTTGGAAAATCAAGTTATCACATTTTTAAATAATTAATCATTAATAGGAACATTAAGAAAAACCATCTTGCCCCATACTATGGGGTACGATGGGGTTATGAAATTGGAGTATGATAGAGAAGGCTAATTATACTTACAAAACAAACAAATGTGTATTTCCTCCAGATCGTCATTGTTCACGCCAGCACAAGCATTGTGAGCCCAACGTCCACAGAGCTGGCAGGGTACCCAAGGTTCTGACGATGTCAAAAACTGTGGTTTACATTACAATATAAGCAAATGGCATCTTCATCATTGCTCTTTTGTGTTTTGACTGACTGTTTGTCTTTTGTTTATTTTTAGCATTCCTTTTGAGGCGAGGATCATTAGGATTTAATGTTTTTCCCGGTTTTTTTCAAATTTTCCATCTCATTTTTGTAAGGAGTTGAGGTAATTATGGCTGTTTTTCCTCGTCGGAATTGTTTCCTTTTTTGGTTCGTCTCCGTTGAACAGAATTCTATGTGTGCACTGAGGAGGAAATCAAAGTATAACTTCTCCATTTTCACGAGCAAGATCGATCACTTCTAAATGTTGAGCGCCCATCTAGAAGCAGCAATACGTGGTCAGTGGGAGTAGCTCCGGAAAATTTGATAAAGTTTTTGAAACATTAGTCAAAAATATTTCTGAAGTTATCCAGCCTCGAGGATAGCAAACTGCTGTAGTGCCTGGTGGAGCATGACCTAAAAGTTCTCGTTTCATTCGTTGTCTCGGAATAATCATCAGTGGAGGCGTGTAGGTTCCAGCGTTAAAACATATTTCTACAGTGATAGTCTGTCCTCGTTCAGCAGATGATAACGAACCCATTTGTTTTCGTCCTTTAACCTTTAGCTGCCGACCTGGTCTAAACGTAGCACTTACGCCGACGTGACGACTGAGAGACGTCAAACTTTAAGTACTTGAATAAAATGTGTATTTTCATGCTACATTTTTCTATTTTATACATTTAAAAAAATTGTTGTTTGAGGTGACAAACTACAGAATAAAAAAAAAATTCACGCTATTTTTCTGGTAAAATCAACATTTATTCGAGAGATCTCAATTATTTGGCAATAAATTTTAAGGACTTACTTCAGTCTTCTTTTTCTCTAAAATTAAGTAATTAACAACAAATTAACTTAAAATATGTTATCTTCTATAAACTATTATCAAAATAAAACATAAATCTTACTTATTAGTTAAAAAATAAAAATAATGACAGCCCTCGAATATTTGGTACATTCACTACGTACATTTGCAGTCAATGCATATTTGTAGGCAGCAAGTAAGGCACATTGGTTTCTTGCATTTGCAGCAACTGTACTTCGTTCGCCTTTTCAACGGACTGGGACAGATTGCACATGTTTTTCTAACACCTGAATCTGGATCCTGGTAAGTTTTTGGTGGTGGAGGCTCGGGCATATCGGCGGGTCCAATAACTCGCTCGATACTTAGCCGCAATTCCCGTGGGATCCTCTCATTGTAGACGCGTAATTTCATTTCCGGGAGTACTAATTCACGAGCCAGCAGGAGTAAAAATCGGCCACGACTTATGTCGTCGCCCTTGTTTGTGCACTTGTTGTACAATACATACGTATTAACACCGCTCATATCTATCAACCTGTAAAACAAAGTCATAGGTCAACGTCGAGTTCTTCGAGAGCACGAGTAATTCGAGCATTTCTTATCCACCTCATCCACCCCTCCTTTCGTCTTGTTATAGTCAATTATCATAATAGGCTTATTAGATGCAGAATCAGTCTCTTTGATATGGTGCATAGACGACACCAGTAATACAGCTTTTTTAGGCTTAGGCACGTAAGACAGAATAGTATTGTCTTTGGTGAATCCGTATAACGAAGAACCAACCACTCTATCTTTGTGAGGCTGAAATTCTGGTGGGATCTCCCTCTTGTTTTTCTTCATAGTGCCCAAGTAAGTAAATCCACGATCTTTCAGTGCTTGCAGTAGTTCTATCGAGGTAAACCAGTTAACTGCTGTTATATTTCGGTTACAGCCATCGATCCCTTTACAAAGATGTAGAACAGATTGTGTGGGAATTGAAAAGCGTTTCTCTGCATCACTTAGACCATGGCCATCAGATCCTGTGCCATAATATACATAAGCATTGTATATATAAAAACTTTGAGCGTCAACCAGCAGGAGAACTTTTAATCCATATTTATTTGGCTTGTTTGGCATATATATTATAAATTTGCAGCGCCCTCTAAAAGCTACAAGCATTTCATCTATACAAATGTAAGGACCCAAAGTGTAATTTTTCTGGCAATTACTGATGAACTCATGAAATAACTCTGAAATAGCGGCAAGTTTATCGTCTTTTAATCGTTCTTGTTTGAGTATTATCAAAACGCAAACAGTTTAACAAGACCAGAAATCTGTTTTTGGACATAACGCAGCGAAAAATATCCCGTCCTGTGCCATCTGTTGCAAAAATAAAGTCTGAATTTTCGTGATTTGATTGGAATACTGATGTATAAAACAATAGCCCAATTAAAGCCTTTATTTCTGTCTCATTCGTTGAGCCTAGTTCAGATCTGCTACTGTCTTTATACTTAGCCCTATAGCTATCTAATTTCTTGTTTGTATAAGTTACTATCATTTCAACCATGTGATCACTAAACATCAGTTTCCATAATTCCGTGAAAGATTCAAATTCAAACGGACTTACTTGAGATGGTGCATTGACAATATTGTGCACGCGTACTCGACTTGTTCGGGATGGTTCCGCCGATGCCCATTTGTACCTATTCTTCCCGTAAAAATAGCGCGGCAGCTCTCCTGTTGATTCTTCATTTGGCTCCTGGTCTATTCTAAGATCTTCACTACCCTGGTCATTTCGCGTCTCTACTTCGCTATACTGCTCCTCTCCGATCTCTTCAATTCTAGTCTCTGCTGCGCCATGCTGTTTCTCTCCGACTATTGTCTCTTTTCCGATCTGTTCTGTAATGTCCTGGCTTCCATGAGCTCGTACTTCTCTTTCCTGTTCTTCATTGTCGTGATTATGGTTGATTTCTCCGTGGTAAACTTCCTCAATATGGGGATACGTGACGTCAACATCATCCTCATGTTCAGATTCCGTGTTGTGATCGCTCTCTAAAATAAAATCAGGATCGCCTACATCGTCGTCAAAATCACTACAGTTGTCGTCACTCTCGTTTGTAAGATTTTCACATATCTCTTTATCTTCTAAAGGCCTATTCTGTTTTCGAAGTTTCAGAGGCCTCTCGGGAACTGAACCGTCATCTTTTGCAGGTATTTTCTGCTCACTAGACGTGACGTTTCTCCTTTTAGGCATTCTGCGATTAAAAGTATAATTTTAAAGCCGATGTGACGTCAATCAGACACTATAAGCTACCACACATGAATATCGAGGTGACGACCAAGAGACGTACGAAATTTAGTACATAAACACCGTGCTTACGTCTGTGAGACGTCGATCGCTTCAATACGGAGATGTGTGCAATCGCCGCCGGCGCAGCGTTGACTGATGGCTTGTGACGCGGAGGGAGGAAGGTAGCGGGAAGGGCGGCGCTAACGGTGGCGTGATTTTAGAAATATTTTAAAATGAAAATTTATTACGTCTGTGAGACGTATAGGTCGGTAGTTAACCCTTTACCGCATGGAATTTTTAAATCAACTTAAAAAAAAATATTTAGTTCTATACCTTATACCTGTTGATATAAAAATATTTAAAAAAAAAATCGAGGTATTATTCATTACAAAAAAAATATCCAAAGTTTTGGTTCCAAATTTGGAACGATATGCATTCAAGCTTATAATTGTACGTGTTCCATATTTGGAACATCATGCAGTGTGTTCTACTTTTGGATAAGCATGTTTTTTTTTAAGGTCATAATTTCAAATTTATGTCTAAATAAAAACATATTTTAAGAAATTAAATACTTATGTGACGTCGTATCAATATAATTGCAAATTTATTTTATTAGAAAAATGTCAAAAATATGATTACTAAAAATTGTGAAGTTTTTATATAGGTATTATTATACATATAGATTTTATAATTAAATTATTTATATTTAATCAATTTTTTAAATTAAGTTACTTCAATCAATTAAAACTACATAAAAATATATTTACTTAATATTTTTATTTTCATACATTTAAGAAATTAGTTTATTAAAAATAATACAAAAAAACCTATGCGAAAGCAAACATTTATGAATTTTAATTTATTTATTCAATCATGCGACATGTGAAATTTTTTAAAACAGTTGCGGTCCTTATTCAAGCATAAATAACATTTGCACTTAGTACACATTACTTGGGTTTTTTGACCACAGCCGACCATCTTACACCTTTGTCGGTCAGTCTTCCACTCCGGCCAGTGATTAAAGCCATCTTCGGCTACTTCAACAGGAGGCAATTCAATGCGGCGTCGTTTTTTGTCTTTTTTTAATATTTTCTATATTTGCATTTAGCGGTCGTCCTCTGCGAGTTGGTGTAAAAACTCTGGCATCTTCTTGCATCAGAATTTCTGCCACCATTAATTTAAAATCCAGCAAGGGTATGTACATGTCTTCACCTTTTTGTTTGGTTCTACGTCTCCACAATAACCAACTATTTACACAGACTAGGTCTATAAAATGGAAGAACAATCTGTGATACCACTTTTTTGCTTCGAATTTTAATCCTATAAAAACCTAGCATAGAATCTAATAAGTCTACGCCGCCCATATATTTATTATAAATTGTAATAGCCTTTGGGCAAGGAATATCAATTTTGGCCCTTTTTTTCTTTAAAAATCTTTTCACCATTGCCATGGGTTCTTTGCCTACGTATGAAGAACACAGGCTAACAGGTTTATTGTCTACCCAAGTAGTAACGGTTAATTTGACATCCTCATAAATGGTAGATTTTTCCGCACAATATCCTCTTTCTTCTTTCATAATAGTTTTTTTTTCTATATTTATATTGGGTGCTCTATTGAGCTGAATTGTTCCTAAAGGAAGGAGTCCTTTTTTTATGCAAGTTGGCCATCAAAGGCAAACTAGTGTACCAATTGTCCACAAAAATTTTATAATTAAGATTTTGAGGAACAGTGTTTAACAAACGCTGGACAATGTTTCCTGGTATTCCGAGGTCAGGGCAGTTCTCTGGCGGATCAGGGTGTTTTCCAGTATCAACCTCAAAATCGTAGCTAAAGCCACTGGCTCCGCTTAGCACATAATTGAGGTAGCCCCATTTGTGTGGTTTTTTGGCATTATAACGCCTCATACCAGAAGTACGTGCTTTGGTAGGAATCATTTGTTCATCAATTGCCAAGTATTCTTCTTTAGGCACTTGTAACAGTCTTTCACGCAATATATTAAGGAAAGGGCGTATCTTTTGTAACCGGTCAAAATTTGGATCACCGGACTCCAACTCATCATTTTTGTTAAAAAAATGTAAAAACCTTTTTACTTCTTCAAACTTGTTACAAGTCATTGCTGAAGCCACCTTTTCAATGTATGTACCTTCCTTCCAATAATGACGTGTTGTTGGAAGATGCACCACAGACATATAAATTATTATGCCTAAAAATTTACGTATGTCTTCTTCCGTGACTTCATTGTGGTTGCTTTCGGTGATTTGATCAGCATATAAGTTGCTCTCCCTTACAATTAAATTAATCGCTGAAGAAGGAAATAAAAATTTAAAGAAATCCATGGGCGCTTCGAGTTTCATAATTTCATTTGGGAGATCTTGGCATCCTAAAAACGCAATATGTGACTCGTCATACGCCATACTTTCATCAGACCATACACATTTAACCTTCTTTCTCTTATTTCCTGTGCGCTGTTTTGACGTAGAAGGCTTGCTTGAGATATCTTCTTCTTCCGTTTCATAAGGAATATATTCGTCGCAATCATTATCAAGAGCGTCGTCATCTAAATAAATTTCTTCAAATTCACCTACATTTCCACGATCATCATCTGAAGCGATTTCATCGTCACTGCTCTCTGGAATGAAAATCTCAGGACCTGGGTTTCTATAAGTTTCATCATCCGATGCCTTCTCATCTTCACTACTCTCTGGGATGGAAAATGCAGGACCTGTGAAAAAATATTATACATTCATTTCAGAAAAAAAATCATCCCCACATTAAGTACGTGTAGGGGAGGTACCCCAGAAAAAAACATTTTTCATAATTTTATTTTAGCACTTTGTCGGCGTAGTAAATACACATATCCATGCAAAGTTTCATCTTTCTAGCGCTAACAGTTTGGACGGTAGAGCGAAGACGGACAGACGGACGGACGGACATGACGAAACTATAAGGGTTCCTTGACGTATACTACGGAACCCTAAAAAGACTGGTCAATTCGATGGGACTGGCTGGATTTAGCCCTCGCCATCCAGGTTTGAGTTCTAGGTTAAGATATAGTTAGCAACCCGTCCCGGACGTGCCCGGGGATGTATTCTATACCTAAACTTTCCTCAAGAATCCCTCTATCTATTGTGACCACCGCATGAAAATCCGTGCAGTAGTTTTCGTAAACAGACAGACAGATAGACGTGGCCGACGGCTTTGTTTCATAATATTTAGTGAAGTGATGATGAGTTCATATATAAATAATCAAAACTAGGACGAGTATAATTAACTTACACTGCATAATGTTCCAAATATGACCAAGGGGGGTTTAACGAACACATTGCATGAAGTTCCAAATTTGGCCAGTTAAAAAGCGCCTGGCTGCATTTTGTTCCGAATTTGGAACAAACTTTGACCGATTAATTAAACAAGATACTATAAAATATACTTACGTTTTTTACCATAAAAGCGCTGAGGATCCATTTTTCTGCAACACTCACACAGTTTTTTAATTTTATTGCAAGAACAACAACACTTATCGCTGTATGAAGCTGAGAAACGTCGGGCTCCTACAAAATGGCGGCCTCAACTGTTTTGTCCAGAGATAATAACGTTTCAAAAGACTAGAATGGAGGTTGTTTATAGTAGCTTAGTTAAAGCACACCTTACTTTTGTTTGTTGATGCAGAACGGAATAGATAGATGGCGTTGATAACATTTTACAAGGAAAAAATTAAAGCGTTCCAAATTTGGCACAGTATGCGGTAAAGGGATAAAGGTTAATAGCTAATATAATAGCTAATATAATAGCTATTTTGCTTTTTGTTTAAGAAACTATTATATATTTTCTCAGGTGTCAACTCAAATTTATCATAAATAACTCCGAGTAACTGATTGAATTTACTTAGGGCCACTTTCTTGAATCCTATTGATCTAGCTGCTAATGTGGCTTCAGGATTGCGAATCGATAAATTTTGATGACGTTTTAAAAAATGTTTGAGCCAATCAACATCTGCCATTTCCTTATCAGTATTAAAATTGTGTGACTTTCCACTTTTATCTGCCAATGCTAGACGTCTCAGTTCGATAGTTGTTAGTCCAGAAAGATGCTCTTCCATATATTTCAGATACGCTTCTAGTTTGACTTCTTCTTTAGGTGTAAAAATAGTTTTTTTCGGGCCTAAATGTAAACTAATAGTGCTTCACCGCATTCCTTCATTTTTTCTAACATATCGCTCTAAAGTAGTCTAGAGGCAATGTGTATGCAGAAGCAGCCTTTTTGTGTCCCATCTCTTTGCTTAAAACTTTATCTTAATGATATGCCAACTCGGAAAAAACGAAACTCGATTTAACCCATGTTAAAATTCACGTAACTCGGGTTGAACTCGAGTTAACTAGATGGAAAAGTTAATGTTTTTTTTAAACTTTACCAATTTATTCCCTCACCTTCGCATTAGTAGTAAAAAAAATTTGAACATGCAAATGATATTTTTATCTGTTTCAATTCTTTCATTTTTTATATTATTTGTTTATAATGTATTGGAAGAGTTATACTAACTAAAGTAAAAAAGGAAATTATTGTTTGAAATCGAATCATTTTTTTATGTATTTTTGGCTTGGACTTTAATTTTTAAAAATATTTATATATATATTATTAATCAAACTATGTAATCATACAGCAGTCTTTTCAAAATAAAATCAAACTAACATTATGATGCAGGTATGTACATTGGTACATCTTGGATGCTTATTTTTAATGTGGTTTAATAATGTGGTCGTATTTCCATTATATTTGAAAGAATCTGAACACTGTTTACACTTAACATAACTCACTGGCGATTCAAATACATCCCAAACCAAAGATTTTCTTTTAAGACCCCGCATTTTTCAAAAACAGAATTTAAAACACGAAAAACTACAACAATAACCGGCACTTTAAAGTTAACCTCAAATCTACACTATGTGACACTTGTTTGTTATGAATGAATATAGTCTCAAATGATCGGCAAACTTCGCTCCATGTCGGTTTCATTCGGTTTTCAACCTCGAGTCAGAGAGAATTCAACTCGAGTTGGTTCGAGTTAAGCCCAACTCGAGTTAACTCGAGTTAGTTACTCGAGTCGACCATCACTACTTTATCTATAGCTGTTTCCATAGCATCTGTCGACCACTGTCCTTTTTTTGATTTTTTCTTGTAAGGACGTACCATTATTCTTCCTAAAAATAATAAACCAATGTTATTTATTTAGCAACTTAAATGATCTCAGACCCACCACCCCATTTCGCCCCAATGCCCCATCATACCTCACACCAAATACCCCATCTTGCCTCAAAGGGTAATAGGATTTTTTGACACTTTATCACCTCTTGTCTGCTGTATACTAGACAATCGGATAACCCCACCGCTAAAATGCCCTATACTACAGTGGCAATTGTTGGTATTTAGTCAATATTATTTTTTATAACATTGTCCGTCATTGTTAATATAGCAGACAGAGCAATCCCCATTAATTGCTGGCGGTCTTTGACTCTCTCGTCTCTATTTTCAATAGAATCGCTCAGGAGTCCATCCAATTCCACATTAAGCTTAGGTGCATCCAGTAACATTATATTTTTTGGAATTCAATGTCTTTTCATTAATTTCCCTTTTTCCTATACTGCCGTGCTTACGATAATGGCAGTAAGTATCTGTAATAAGATTTCGAGAAAATGGCGCGCAAACTTTTCGTTCTTTTTTCACCTTAATCCTGTGTTCAGTTAATGAGTTTTCTAAAATAAGATAATTGAAATATGTATCGTAAGTGATGTATTTTTATTTAGTGTACCAATTAAAGATGTTGTTGAATTATATTCGTTTTAAATGACAAAAAACTGTTTATGCTAAGTATACGTTGATAATCTTAAAATAATAATTACTTAGAATTACCGGAGTAAGTACGTAGTTACTGCTTTTATGGTGTGATTCATATAATTCATAGGGCTTCTTAGGAAAAAACAACAGTAAATACTGTAAAAAATCTTTTATTTATTAACCTTCCTTATTAATTAATACTTGTACAAATGTTTTAAACTAACATCTTTAATATGGCAAGAATTTGTGATCCATCGTACAAAAGTTGCTTACGTACAATTTAACAAATCATAATTCAACGTACTTATTTCTCATTAAATCGAAATAAAAAAATAAACATATTAAATATATATTTCAGTCTTGTATACTTAATCGGAATCAATATTTAAAGCCAAAACTCTTTTCTATTATCCGGCATTAGCTGCAAAAGGTTCTTTATTATGCCATTTTTAGTAGATTCCGATATGCCCCTTGGTGATGATCTTTGAATAAATTCATGAATTTTCTTTGATTTTATATATTTTATTTGAAGAAAGTCCAATTTTTTTTCATTTATATCATTGTGATTATTTTTATATTTGAGCGTGAACTCACCCCTTTTTGCTGTTGTTACCAAAATGTCCTTGAGGTATACCCTTGGTTAATTTTTGCGTACTTTGTGTTGTGAAGACAGTTCAATATAATTGTAGAAACCAACGACTTCCATTACTTTTACAATATTTTTAGCAGAATTGGCTTGCCGCACAGCATCAACAAAATCTGCAAAGTCGTAGCTTTATTTTTCTTTTGTAAAGCCTGTTCTACCTGATGATGAAAGCTATCCGCGGACATATAAGTATGGCCGGGCTCAAAGTACTTCAGGGTAATAGTGTTTGCTTTTATTTTTGTGCTATTAATAATATACACTAAAAAACTCAAAATGGCCCAGTTTTTATTTTGGGAAGAACAATTGTCCATAATACTATTTGTTCAGCATCTCGTTTATTCAATAAAAATGCTTTTAATGTAGAAATTATATCCTCTTGTTTTCGCCCTGAGATAGCTTCATGCCAAACCGCTGCAATAGGCACATTATTTTTGTCTTTTTTTACTAGATCCTAACGGTACGAAGCTTTCATTATAGGCAATTATACGCGAGCACAATATTGCCCGTTTAAATTGATCCATTCGAGGCAGCATAATCACTTTTTGTAAATCCATTGAGTAGTAAACTGTATGTGGTTCGTTGCCAGATTTTTTGGTGTCATCTTTATATGATTTAAGAGTTTCCACATATCTCAATTTAACCCTTATTTCGACGGAGTTCTCAATATGCTAATTTTACAAATTTGTTTTAAAATTTTACAAATTTGGTTTCTATAGCATGTTAGAGTCTCGTAAAAAAGATAAAAAAATTAAATCACCTACCATTTTTGAGAAAAAGGGGGTCCGTCAAAGCGGACTCCGTCGAGCACATAGAGATTTACAAGTAAAATAACTTGTCCGCTTTTCCTTGAGAGTGCAAATAAAGATACGAAAACAAAACGAGAGGAAAGGAATGAAAATTATGTTTATTTGAAATCTAATATTAACCTTTTACGTGAAAATTAAAAAAAAAACAGTTGCGTGGAGCTTTTCCTGTCACAAAGCATAGCTGCGTATTGCATTTTAAACAGTATACAGTTGTTTTATTATTGCAATTCATACAACGGCCTTCCTCCTTCGTAGATGGGAAGTGCCCCACATTATCAAATCGGGTATCATCAGGTGGTCTAGGCTTGCACACCTTCAGCCCGTTAGTAGGTAGCAGCTCTGTTGTTATTCAACAAACCGTAGTATATTTCGTATCTGAAATCTTTGGGTCTCATAAAGTTGACACGACCACCTGCAGCACGTGCTTTTTGCTTTCTATAAAGAATAATAAAGAATCCAGGCATTGTTTACACAAATGTCAATCATTTGAGAAAATATCGCTATATACCGTTTAGTTCTGAACGGTGTCTTATATAACGATATCATCATGTCAGCTAAGTCAACACCACCCATATTTTGATTATAATCCTTGACCATATTAGGACAATCAACATCGACTCTTTGCTTAGCGTCCTTGTTAGTATCTCTTCACTTTATGGACGGGATCAGCATCTGTGTATGAACTTATTAGTGTGGTACATTTATTGTCGTACCACCTTACGACAACTAATTTGTTTTTGTTGCAGACACACTGATAATAACTTCCTCGTCTCATCTTCTTGAGAGCCTTTTCATAGATCAATTTATCTTCTGCCCCTCTCAGTCGGTTGATTCGAATTGTTCCTAAAGAACATAAACCATAGTTTTCTCGTAGTACATATACTAATTCGGGCGACGAGAAGAAGTTATCAAAATATACCATAGCAGGCTTATTTCGTATGGTTACAATGTGTTACAATGTGTGCCCCAAAATCCAAAGATTGCTCTTCATCTGTAAACTTATGATTGCTAAAGGTATCATTTCCTCCATACAGTATAAAATCGTAAATCATACCAGATGTACCTGCCCGAACATAGTTTTTAAAACCCCATTTTATCGGTTTAACTTTCATGTATTGCCTCCGTTTACCGGCTTTACGCCCTTTGTATGCAATCATCATCTCGTCGATGCTAAACCTATTTTCATCTTCATGAGCAATACAATTTCTACGTATCTTCTCTATAATAGGTCTAATCTTATAATATCTATCGCTATTGTCAAAGTTGTTATCAACAAAATGAATAACTCGTCGAATTTGCTCTTACCTTTTCAAAGGCATAACGTCTGCTATTTTGTCATATCTGAACTTCATGCTCCAGTAATCTAAATAAGAGCTCAGAGGTACAATACCCATCAAAATGTGTATCGCCAGGAAGTCACGCAACTCATTCTCTGTTAGCTGTATGGATTGGCCAGTTCTTTGGACTGAATAAGCGTTTGTTTCATTGACTATATCTGTTATGATATCTGGTGAGAAGAAAAAAAAAGAAATATTGTAAAGGTGACAAAACTTCGGGGGCATCTCCAGACATAACCGGATCTTCTATTTGAGCTTTGTGTAAAAAAGTACCTTTTTTCCATTTGAAGTCGAGTGTCAACTTTTGTAGTTCCCTTGGCCTTTTTTAGCTACAAAAGTAGCCGTTTGTCTTCTTTTTCTAGTGACTGGGGATGGGGTATGTAAAGATGGTAAAGATGATATAGAGGGCAAGTTTTGAAAGTTTGGTTCTTGTGTTGGATTAGGTAGAATTTCTTGTAAAATAGGAGTTAGAGGAACATTGGATAAATCTGGGTCTTCGTCTGTTTCAGATTGGTTTTAGGTAGTGCTTCAAAGGAACCATCCAAAAGATTCTTGCGCTCTAAAGAGGAAACAAGCGATGTCACTTGTTTCAGATGGTGCACGCTCTCTAGGTACAAGTGCTAATATTTTTTTCGAGCATTCATGCAGGCGACACTGTCAAAGAGCAAAAAAATAAAAGCTAAGCAAACCACCATAAAAATAAAAACTATATCACGAGAGTGTAACGATTTGTACTGATTTTATGTAATGATATGTACGTAATTGTAGGAAATTTATAGATATATGTATATATTATTTAATATTCATAAAAGGTATGCTTATTGTTATAAAAAAAACCATTAATATTTATATAGAATACTAAATATTTTGCACTGTCATGAAAGGCAAATACACATATCTATTTATTACTATGTTATTGACAAAGTCCGCTGCCATGGACAAGTAAAACTTCGTGTGCATTGCCGTAGTTTCGGTACGGTCCGGCGTGGCGGACAACTACTTAGCAGGTCTATTTTTAGTGAATAAACTGCAATTACAATATTGTTTTGTTAGTGAATGTATGCGTTATCTACATGATAACAAATATCACAACAAAAATCCAATGTAAAAAAATAAATAATATAAAAAAACATATAAATACCTTGAGTAAAGTTGAAGACTTCCGTGTCGTCGCCAACTTGCTCAATAAGTGACAGATGACATATTGCCAGGTCACTAATTTATTTTTCTACCTTTCCTTTATTATATTTTCTAACGTTTATTTAAAAAAAGTTAAATATAAACTAAATTAGAATTGCAACAGATTTTTTTAAAGTACTTGTCCATCCTACCGGACTAATTCGAAATAAGGGTTTTAAGTATTTTGAAACTTTTCCAGAAATCACAATCTTCCTTTGTGTTTCATGACTTTTATGGTGCTGTTCAAATTCAGCCCATATTTCGCACTCCTCATTGCCCAAATGAGCGAATGAAATATGCATCTCATCACGAACGGCCCTTCTATATACCTCAAAAGAAATTATTTGATCTGGGTATTTTTCACAAAATTGCGTATGCATTAAGGTAATCGTTATATCGCTGGGCAAATATAATATGTTCGGGGCATGTTCACGTCTATAATGTGAATTTACTGGGCCAAATGTATTAACCCTTAGTTGCATGACTTTTTTATTATTGCAAAAAAAATATGCATGTAATTGGACCCCTAGGTAATGGGAAAAATAATAAAAAAAATCTTTGACATTTGTAAGTATTAATTTTTTATTAAAAACGATTTGATGTAAATTTCCATCATTATGCAGAATGAACTTATGAGCTTAGTACAAATTAAAGTATTTAATAATTTCAATTTTGATGAAAATTAACAAAACAATTGTTGTTTTTATTAAGACATAAGTTAACCCTACATTTGTTGCAGCTGATTGTGGAATATCCTTTACAGTTTGGGTATTTGCATCGCAGTGAAACGCCAACTTGTGGCCAATGGTCACTACCATCTCTTCTAATGTCTTTTGGTGGAGGAACAACTGTAGGCCCTCTCTTCTTTTTTGCTTGGATTTCAATTTCCAAAGAGCTGGAACTTGGACGTCCTCTTTTGACCTCGGTGTTGGATCCTAATGAGCACAAAACTTGAGCCAATTCATTACGAAATTGCTCCATGGAAAGTATATTCTTTTTTGGCATATTTGCATTTTTTTTTGTAAATGATCCACGCATTTATTACCGTAAGATCAAGCAAATGAAAGAAAATACGTAAATACCATTTTTTAGACCTTACAGCAATATGGAACTTCCCCAAAAAACTGTCCATTAAACCACCACCATATGTTTGTTATATTCTTGTACAATTTTTGGACATGAAATTTCTACCTTTTCCTTTTTTGCTTTGTCATATCTAGTAACACTAGATACTGGTGTTGACCCAACATATGTGAATAAAAGTTTCACCATTTTGTTGTCTTTCCAGGTGACACAAGACATATCAATACCATCAAATGTAGTTGTCCTTTCTACATGACTTCCTCTAGGTACTGACTTTTTCATAAACTCTTTTTTGTCTGGTAATTTTGAGTTTGGAATTCGATTTTGCTGTACAGTACCCACAGATTGAATACCTTGCTTGGCGAAATGATGAACCAGGGGCAATGATGTGTAGAAATTGTCAAAGTATATTATGTGATTTTGATGTCTTGGCACACCTATTAGCAAACGAATTACAACATTTCCTGTGGCTCCCAGATCAGGTTCTCCTTCTGGTCTTCCTGTATTTTCCTGTCCTGAATACAATTCAAATGTATGAGCATATCCTGATAAATCACAGAGTACATAAAATTTAAACCCCCATTTGTGGGGTTTATTAGGCAGATATTGTTTTAAGAAATGTGCCACTTTTGTGGCACACATCTGCTCATCTACTGACAGTCTTTGTTCCATAGGTATAGTCGAAAATTTAGCTTTGAGGTGCTCAATAACTGGACGTATTTTAAATAACCTGTCGTGATCAGCATGGCCTACAGGCTTGTGATTTTCATTATTTTGAAAGTGCAATGAAAGCTTGATTTTTTCAAATTTGTTGACTGGCATTGTGGATGAAACTGGGCCATAACCGAAAGCAGGAGACCAATATGATCTGGTATTTTGAAATTTTTGCACAGACATGAATAATAATATCCCAAAAAATTTTTTTGATATCTGATGCTGCATAAATTATTTTGTTGTTAAGATTTTTCTGCATGACATACAAATTAGTTTGAGTAACAATTTCCTGAATAAAATCATCATCAAAAAAATATTTGAAACATTGGTAAGGAGTTTCAAGCTGTGATATTTCTGATGGAAAAGCTGAGCTGCTTAAGAAAGTAATTCGATCCTCATCAAAGTTCATGTCCTTGTTTTTCCAAATAAGTTTTCTTTTTTTCAATAATGTATTGAAAGTATCACCACAAGAAACTGTGAACTTTGACTTTCTCGTTCTTCCACCAGTTCTTCAACAACGGGAGGATCATTTTCATTTTCTTCCTGACTGTCTTAATCACCATTGTTATCATATAGACTTAGAAGTTCATCCCTAGTATAATGGGGATTTGGTGGGTCATCGTCTTCAGAATCTTCTGCCTCCACTCCATCTTCCGACAGACAACCATCTTCTAGCTGTGCTAGATAGTGTTCTATGTCTTTATCATTGATAATATTCTGAAACAGCAAAAAAAAATACATAAATAAAATTACATGAACCTAAATTTCTTCATACTTCAAGGATGACAATACTGCATAATGATGTAAATTTACACTACTACGTTACTATTTACATGTTTTTTTTTTCATAAATATTAGCAGTTTCCACAATACTTACCCTATTTCTATGCATTATGAATTTTTTCTCCGACTTCTATTGGCAAAACCTTTAAAAAACTTAATAATTTTATGCACCGTTACAACGAAACCAACGAACTTGAGCTTACCAAATTTTGATTGACGTTTGACAGTTGACGTTTGCTTTTTTTTACTAGGTGCGTTCCGTTTCGTTCAAACGTGTTTCAAAAAGTTGCCAGAGATAAAAAAATCTTTTATATGTGTTTTTATTACATCTCTGTCAAAGTTAGTTCTTCTTTTGTAATATCCTCTTTGATTGTTTTGTTTCTCTATTGGTCTTTGTAAAGCTAATAGAACTCTCTTGTCATTTTTTGGATTGTATCCTAAAGTTGTTAAAAAGAAGTTTTTGCAAACTTCAATCTTAGTTTTATCCTTATAAAAATAGTAAGCATAGCTTACATTGCGTTTTGGCATTTCGCGATTTGTGTTCCTCCTGCATGCAACTGATTTAATTTCGACTAGAGTTTTGATAAAAATACCCTTTAATTGCCAGCTTAAGGAAACGTATTCAGAATTTATTTCTCTTCTACGTTCATCACAAAAATTTTTGTGCATTTTTTCTTGCATATTTCTGTACATGGGTCTTTTATAGTTAGTTTTTCCATTTCTAATTTAGTCTTTTTCTCTCTCCTTTTTTCTAATGGTTCTTCAAATTTCTTTCTTTTCCTTGGGTTTCCCATTTTTGTTATTCCTTTGTCTTCCTGTTCTATTTGAACTATTTTTGACTCTTCGTTTTCTTTTTGTATCTTGTTTTCAGGTATTTTATATATTTTTTTACTTTCGGTATGCCTTTGTGACAAAGAAGAAGCATGATTTTTGCAGTCCAATAAGTGTCTTCGGCTATAAAATGTGAATAACAGAGTAAACATAGGCACTTCCCGCAGGTAATAAATATATCTTCAACACACCCAAAATATTCACATTGTGATGCCAAGTTATCTTTATTTGATTTATTATGTTGAGGAAAGTTGAAAGTTGTTCGTGGAGTTTTTTTGACTGAAAATTCTCAAAGTTTTTAGGCTCTTTGTCTCTATTATTTGGTAAATTTATCAAATTTAAATTGTTTTCTGTATCTTGGTAATGGCTGGATAAATTAATTCCTTTTAAATAATGATTTTCTGTTGAATATGGATAATGTTTTTCACACCGCTGATATTGATATTCAAAATGGACTAAACACAAAAGACAAAAACATTGTGTACAGGAGCTAAACTCTTTTAAATTACAATCTTCAAATTCACAATGTTGGATAGAACTAGATTTTTTTTTGGCAGAAGATTGACATTATTAGCAATAGATATTGTTTCATCAGATTTTGTACTGTTTATATCTTCTTCTGGCACGTAATCTGTATCTTTACTATCATCAGGGTCAAAAGGGTCTTCTTGAATGCCAATGTGACTATCATCGGATATTATAGAAAGAGGAAGAAATTCTTCATTACAGTATAAAATATCTGCATAAGAAGTATAGTTAACCTCGGTATTATCAAATCCCACATTTACTAGTTGCCTTCATAGTGGCTTACGATTTTGCGTTTGGTCAAATTTATGCATGGGATCGTTATTTGGTTTATTCTGTGGTTATGTTTCTTCAAGCCAGGTTTCTATGTTATGAAAGTTATACATATGTGCCAATTTATAGTTGTTAGAATACTCATTACGATTGTCAAAAATTTCTTTGTGTTCATTAAAGTCGTACTAGCGGAAAAACTTGTCTCGATATCTGTAAATTTATTTTTTAGTTGTTCTTGTTTTGTCTTGCTAATCATTAAATCTTTTCTGGTAGCCATATTCTGAAAATATAAAACAAAATATATGTTACTAACTTTACCTAATTTGTTTACGATGCATATAATGTACAAGTAATTACAACAAAAAAAAAAATTACTGCATTAATGATTAAATTTTTTTTCATAAATATAAATATAAAAAAACATTTGTGGAGTTCACACGCGGTGGAAGTGAAATCTTTAGAAAACGAAACTTCGAGAGAATGAAACGAATGCAGTCCCTCTATCATGAATAGCATAATAGTAGGTTTTTTTAAATATAATATTGTTACCAAATTTAAATACTATTTTAATTATATTCTACATAATATAAAAATTGCATATTATACAGACTCTCAAGTTTTCAATATCAACAAATGAAAGGATTGGCTTACGGTAACTAAAGTATGAATTATATTTATCTCATTCTCTCACAGGCTTAATCCATGTACATTTCTCACATAATATCTCATGTCACATAATACATGTATATTTCTCTTCAGTGAAGCTTTTTTCGTTTCATTGAGTTTCAAATCACAACAATTCTAAAGAAGTTTTCACTTCAAAAAACGTGGCACTTTTACCAAAAGTTGCTTATTTTTCGCCAATAGATTTTCGGATACTTTTGTAGATGCGTTGACTTAACTCGTAGTTAGCAGTTTATCAGATGTACCTAACCTGCCAAGTCAGTAATTCGCAATTAATGAGTATAAACTATAACTAACTAGTATCCGAAAAATTATAGCAGGAACTGTCAAGAAATTGACTTGATACTTAAATTGTGTGTTCGAAAGGATTTAAATAAGAATACTTACGTAAATATTAGCTCCGATAGTACAAAGCGCGGTGTAAGCGCACGCACATAACCTCCCACTGAACGGTTGCTGGGCGCACTAAACGTAAACGCGCCACACAATAAATTCAATCCGGGCGACTCCCCCACTTCTTCATGCCTCCCAACTCTCACAGGCATTTAATTCTAAGCAAAATTATAATAACTCAAACTTTACGTCCAAAAAAAAAAATCATGAATAACTGTAAACTGCATTCCAAAACGTGCAATACTACTTTTGTTATGGTGGTTTTCAAGGATTGTACACTCGAAATAAATACCCTTGCTTATTACACCTGGAGTATTTGTACTGTTTAAATAATAATAAATTAATGTATTCAAAACAAATACCTTTGCTTATTACATACGCAGTAAGTGTACTTACTGCTGATATTATAAGTAAATAATGAACTCAAAACAAATACCTTTGCTTATTACATACGCAATAAGTGTACTTACTGCTGATATTATAAGTAAATAATGAACTTAAAACAAATAACTTTGCTTCTTACATACGCAGTAAGTGTACTTACTGCTGCTATTATAAGTAAATAATGAACTTAAAACAAATACCTTTGCTTCTTACATACGCAGTAAGTGTACTTACTGCCGATATTATAAGTAAATAATGAACTTAAAACAAATACCTTTGCTTATTACATACGCAGTAAGTGTACTTACTGCCGATATTATAAGTAAATAATGTACTTAAAACAAATACCTTTGATTATTATATACGCAGTAAGTGTACTTACTGCTGATATTATAAGTAAATAATGAACTTAAAACAAATACCTTTGCTTATTACATACGCAGTAAGTGTACTTACTGCTTATATTATAAGTAAATAATGAACTCAAAACAAATACCTTTGATTATTATATACGCAGTAAGTGTACTTACTGCTGATATTATAAGTAAATAATGAACTTAAAACAAATACCTTTGCTTATTACATACGCAATAAGTGTACTTACTGCTGATATTATAAGTAAATAATGAACTTAAAACAAATACCTTTGCTTATTACATACGCAGTAAGTGTACTTACTGCTGATATTATAAGTAAATAATGAACTCAAAACAAATACCTATGATTATTATATACGCAGTAAGTGTACTTACTGCTGATATTATAAGTAATGAATGTCCTCGAAACAAATACCTTTACTTATTGTAACTACAATGTGTATAGTTACTGCGGTAATCACTAGCAATATCGTAACGCTATTGTAGGCGCCACACTTGCAAACCAATAGTAAGTATACATACTGCTGTATTAATAAGTAAGTTTTGTAACAATTTAAATCATACTGCTCTTATCATTACTGAATTTATAAGTTCCCGCTGAGATATTAAAATGAGTGTCAGACTATATTATAAAGTTCATTACGCTGATTCCGTATCTGTATATAACTCAGTTTGCCCAAAAATCGGACCTAGGTACTGCCATTATCGCAAACACGGCAGTATTCTGCAGACCTGTTTGGCTTTCGTAATCAATTATGCCGAATATTCGATTCGGTAGAAGTTTTTCCGAACATTCGGTGGAATATGCGGTTCGGTGAAACTTATGTTCGGTCCATCGCTATTCTCTACCAGTATATCTTGAGGTGATGCGGAGACAGAATGAAGTAGGTGTAAGCGGAGAACGTGTGGACTGCAAGATATTTTTATCTATGTATATACATTCATTTCACAAATTTTAGATATTACTTATTCCAAAACAGGTATTCAAAAGTCATACGTCGCTGTACTTACACAAGCAAGTCGTACACAAGAAGGATCTCGCCGAGCATCTGTGCGATCATTGCGGAAAGGCATTCCCGGTAAATTTAAAACATTTATTTATTTTGACAGCTTAAAAAAATAAAATAAAATAGATAATAATAATAATATTGTCATCCAGACCGAATTTCGGCCACGGCGGCCTGCCTCAACGGAGACTAGCCATCGGCGCAGGACAGGATTATAGTGCCCAAGTGTATGCGCAAGCACAGGTGCACTCTCTATTCCCTCACTCTCATAATCCGATGGGACGGTAAACCGACACGACCGGAGAGAGATCACTGAGATGACTGCCTCGTTGGTCTTGTGGTTGTAGTAGTGCGACTGCTTATCATGAGGTCCTGGGTTCGGATCCCGGGTCGGGCCAAAAAATTAATTATAGAGTTTTTCCGTCAAGAAATTATCAGTAGTTGCCCGGAGTCAGGAAGTTGGCGGTGTCTCACCCCCGTGCCTGGGAAAGCACTTAAAATAGATAAATATTTATTTAGTAATAGCGATTATATCGCATCTACCACGAGGAGTGTCCCAGCTGCCAAATTTCATGAACGCACATCGCGTCGAAATTCAAGATACCATCCTCACCATCTGGACGCTTGGCGGTCCACTACTGTGCGTTTTACTAGGAGTTTTCTTCCTCGTACAACGTCTCTGTTGAATTGTTCACCACCTGCGATTTTTCCGGACCGATACGACTTAGGGACCTTCAAGAAAAGAACCTACTCCTTTTTAAAAAGCTGGTAACGCATCTGCAATTCCCCTGGTGTTGCGGTTGATCATGGGCGGCGGTAGTCACTTAACATCAGGTGAACCGCATGCTCGTTTGCCCCCTCTTCTATAAAAAAGCGACCAGCCCCGTCTTTGCCTGATCTATGTATCTATCGAATCTATTAATGTGGCGTTGTATAGATTTAAATTTGTTACCATATATAATTGTATAATTTATTCGATAAATTCAATGGTTTTTGATGATTATAAAACTAAAGAGCGCTGCATTAATAAATCCTAATTTTAGATTAAAAAGAGTTAAATAATCATGAATTATTGAACCATTAATTAGGCGAAAAGCTATTTTATGCAATATAATTAAATTATAATGAATTTTTATGTGATGAAGAACTGAATTATAAGGGAAGTTTCCCTCTGGCGCTACCCATGCTGCAGCTATATTATGGTTGTAAAACGAATGGGTCGGCTCGACTGGGGCAATACCTCGCTCTCACAGAATACCAGCGTAAAATAACAGCTTAATGCTGCTGTTTTCATACGTGAGTGTAGATAACCCGAAACGCTTTTTACTGGCAACGAGGCATTCCATTTTAGTCTTTAGGGGTCACAATTTTTTATTGCTGACACATGTAGGTGTCTATTGGGCAACAGCAACCTCTTACCATCACATGAACCTGCATGCTCTGTTCATTTATCACTCCTTTTATAAAAAAGTGCTAATGGTTTGCATTTTGCAAGCGATTGAAAACTACAATATTCTATCAACAATCTTATACAATTCATCTAACAGAATCAAGCGAAACTACGAGGTCATGTTGCGGCCATACATTCCCGCGAGGCGCCGTACCGGTGTGGCTTGTGCGCGGCGCGCTTTAGCTGGCACTCCTGTTTGTCGCGTCACGTGCGCCGAGTGCACCGCAAACGGGACACGGAACATCACTAGTGACCCACATTGCCGGCACTCGGCTCTTCACTAGTGTCCCACACCGCCTGCACGCGGCACATCATTAGTGCCCCATACCGCCTGCACGCGGCACATCGCTAGTGTCCCACACCGCTGGGACGCGGTACATCAGTAGTGTTCCACATCGCCTGCGCGCGGTACATCACTAGTGCCCCACACTGCATGCACGCGGCACGTACCAAGTGCCCCACGCAGCCTGAGCACGGCGAGAACTTGATCGTCGACGGAGGATTGTTGCTTGTGTACAGTGTACTATTGTTTTCGGTCGATTTTGATACATAGTGATGTATAGTGTAATAAATGTGAATGTGTGTTACTATTAGTGGAAATAATAAAATGTGCTCTGATAGTGATATGAACGTCAAGGTATTTTGTTTTCTTAATCGGCTTGATATATCATCGACGTGGACCACGGAATAAAACAAAACAACAAGTGGAAGTAGCAAAACATGTAACTTGTACCAGAACCACTGTCGCCACTCATACATTCGCAAGAGAGCAGCGTGTACCGACAATTTAACTACATTTTAACGTGTTATTGGCTATTCAAAAATAAAATGGAAAGGCACACAGAATATAAAGAAAGGCATTATGTTACTCGCGATTCGCTTGATTGCGAACCATGAGTTCTTCAAAATAAAGGTCATATTCCGTATCATCAAAGAAGTTTCTAGAATTATTGATCAAATTCAGCTTCTTGACGTTAGATGTCGCAGTAATACCACGGCTATTTGAAAACGTACCATAAAATATTAACAATAGATATCATTATGTCTTAACCCAAAAAGCGTATTATTCGTCAATCTCAGAGATTGACGAATAAAAATTTGCTACGTGATGCTAGATGTCGCAATAATAAATTCACGCTATTATAGGCACAATTTTAATAGATATATGGTTAACTTTGCCCTATCTGACCCACTACTGCTACGTGAATTATGTTAGTGATGTATTTACACAATACACACAATATTATTAATTATTCAGTCAATATTAAGGTATATAAAAATCAATGATAAAATGAGTAAAATAACAAAATTTATTAGAAATTACCTTAATGTACTACGTACATTCCCGTAATTCACATAGCCGGCATATAATCAATTGACTTTGATAGAAATATATTAATAGTGAGCTAAATTATCATTTTTGAAATGGAAACAACGAGTATAATAAAAAACTTTAAATTATTGTTTATTGTCCTTGAAATAATACATATTTATTTAAAAATTGACGTTTTGATAGCTTAATATTTAATTTTAGATGATGAATTCGGATATTAATGTATTTATCAACTATCGCCTTTATCAAATCAGTGATATGGTTGGATCCAGGAAACTCGCCTAATTGACGGTAACTAATAGAATTGAATAAATTTGTTCCAATAAACTGTCTCAATATTTTTGCAGTGGTTATATGCTTATTGAATTTGGCTATATCTATTTGCTTAAACACGTTGAACGCCAAGAGAAAAAATGCATCTTCCCGTTCAGGCCGCGTCGGTCAGTGCTGGTCGACAAATAGACTTTCCATTCGGGCCGCGTCGGTCAATGCTGACCGCTTTTTACGAGTGTTTTCAATCCATTCTTACAAGCCGTCGGGCAGTGCTATCAAACTCAATCCTATATTAATTAACCCGCATGGCCCTCTAGTTACTACAAATCAAGTTGGTTTTAGAAAAATGTAAAGGACTTAGACAAAAAAACAATTACCAAAGACTAAAAATGTTCGTAGAGAAAAACTAACAGAGATATCACTAATTATTTTGTTAAAGTTTTTCTTTAAACGTGGAGTAGTGATAAATAAAGTAAAACAATTAAGGCACTTACATTTTAAGTTTTAATTTATCGAGTAAATTACACCAAACTAAACTAAAACTAGGTTTTTTCATATGGGCCGAAAATGTTGAATTTATCGTGTCGTTATGTTATGACTGTGTATGTTTTCGATCGATGTCGTATAGTTTCTTGTAGGTGTCGTTAGTATTTCAATAGTTTTAGATTTCAACCGACGCTTCGTAAAATATTTAGCAAAAATTATAAGCAAAAACTGTTTTGTGTAGGTACCAAAAAATTTATTGGGTTAAGTATATAAATCTATCTATAAAAATGAAACACAAACAAAAGATAGATTGTATCGAATAGTAATCAAATTAAAAATAATAATTTTTCACAATTTTTTTCCACAAATTATTTAGGTAACAATAATAAAAGGAATACTAAAAATCATATATGTATGTTTGCAAAACATTCAACACATAGAAAAGGTTTATCTACACAAGTTTCACAAAAAGTACACACTTTTTTAGTTTTGTTTCTGGCCAATGCACGCCCAAATGTGTTCACATTATTCTTGTAGCATAATCTTTTTTCTGAAGTCTACAATGGGTACATGTTTGTTTGTGACAGTTTATACCATGGTGATATTTAAAATCAGATCAAATGCAATTTTTTTGTACCATTTTAAAGATTTTCTTAATGGTGTCTGATATGCTGCCATCTGATCAGATAAGTCCACTGCTCCCTTTGCCTTGTTATAATCTACAACAATAGGCGGTTTCATTTTGGTTTTATTATGCTTGGTATATAAATATATACGTATTTTGGACTTAATTAAGTTTGTATATAAATGTTTTAATGCTTCAATACAGCCCAAAAAACCCAAAAACCCGGTTTTACGTTGACTCTTTATCATTAATATACCATTTTCTGTCTTTAGGTTTCGTATGTAATCTGAAGCGTAATTTAAAAATGTTAATATTTTGGATGCGTTATAATCTTTCAATGCTTTTTTATAACCATAAAAATGTAAATTTCTTGAACTGAAAACGTTGAAAAGATTATTACAAACAATTATTAACTGTTCGCTATCACTCAACAATTCCATTCCAGAATTTCTACAATATTTTATGGCCTCTGCCACACTTAAGCTGAAAAGTTGAGTACTTTACTAGTACCGACTTTTTAGCGACTTTCATTCGCTCCTTTTGAAAGTTGATATAGTTTATTAGATAAATGAAATGTTTCTTTATATTGAAGATTATTAAGCTGAACGAGATGTCGCCAGTGAATTTTGTTGCCATCTTTGTCTATTAATATTTTATTGTGTTCAAATGCGTTTCGCAATAATTTAATCATATGTCAGGGGTCGAGTACTGCAACTATCGGATCTTTGGTAATAGGTTGATCAAATTTGATATCTTGTTTTTCGAAGGAGCAACCAAGATGTTCTGTCATAGAAATATTTGCTGCGCAACCATCGAAAGTTAATGCCACTATTCTAACACCAACATCATGAGTTAGCTCAAGGCACTGTTTTACCGGAGTGGCACGCTGCTGCGCTGTGATGCCATCCACAAAAAAGAAGGCGATAGGTATTTTAAAATGACTATTAATTGCAGTAACCAAAAATACCAAAGCTTCTTTTGCCTCTGCCAAGTGATCACCTTCTAAACCCGTTCTCATATCAACATAGCCGCGAAATGTATGCCTATCCCATTCAATACGTCGGCGAATGGTCATTTCATCAAGGTCAAGATCAAGATGTGGCTAGAAGTGGCTGTTGAAATGTAACAGCTTTAAGTTTTAGAGTTATAAAAGATTCTTTGGTAAATTTCCGAAGGTTGTTGGTTGCGTGTTCAGATCACGTCGGGGTCACCACTGTGGCCGTGGAAGGAAAAGGGGAGATCTCCCGCCGGGCAAGGTGTTCTGCCCGGGGAGCGGCCAACGCTTCGTGTGATAGTTCGGGGATGTTCTATATATACTGTTTATGATTCGGAATTTTGATAGCGTGATTTAGGCTTCGGTGTGTTTCGTTTGCGGCGCGACGACAGCGCCGCCACACCTGGGTTGCCGCCGATTTTTAAATACCACTTTCTTAGAGTGTGTGGATGTGGTAGGCTTGAATGAAATATTTTGCGTACATAGTCGTTACATAGTTATTGACTGTCGGTATATCGAAGTGCTGAAGTGTTTGTACAGTAGGGCTACGATGGCTATCCGAGTACAGAACCAGAGCTCGAAACCTATCCAACTGCAGAGAGGTGTAAGACAGGGTGACGTTATATCCCCGAAACTCTTTACTGCTGCATTGGAAGACGTTTTCAAGCTACTGGACTGGAAAGGATACGGTATTAACATCAATGGCGCGTACATCACTCACCTTCGATTTGCCGACGATATAGTCCTTATGGCAGAATCGATGGAGGACTTAAGCACTATGCTCAATGACCTCAATAGTGCCTCCCAACGGATAGGTCTTAAGATGAACATGGACAAAACAAAGATTATGTTTAATGTCCATGTCACACCTATGCCGGTATTTGTTAGGAGCACTATGCTCGAAGTTGTTGACGAGTACGTTTACCTGGGACAAATAGTCCGACTAGGTAAGTCCAACTTCGACCGAGAGGTCAATCGACGGATTCAATTCGGCTGGGCAGCGTTCGGGAAATTACGACATATCTTCTCGTCAGGTATACCTCAATCTAAAAACTAGATTGTACAACCAGTGCGTGTTGCCAGTGATGACTTACGGATCTGAGACGTGGTCCTTCACTGCTGGCCGTATGAGGACGCTCAAGGTCGCTCAGCGAGCTATGGAGAGGGCTATGCTCGGAGTTTCTCTGCGTGATAGACTTAGAAATGAGTATATCCGCAGTAAAACCAGAGTGACCGACATAGCCCAACGGATTAGTAAGCTGAAGTGGCAATGGGCCGGCCATATAGGTCGAAGAACCGATAACCGATGGGGAAGAAAGGTTGTCGAGTGGCAGCCTCGTACCGGTAGGCGTAGTGTAGGGCGACCCCCCACTAGATGGAGTGACGACCTGGTAAGATATGCAGGAAGTCGATGGATGCAGGTGGCTCAGGACCGTGCTTTGTGGCATTACTTGGGGGAGGCCTATGTTCAGCAGTGGATTTGGGAAGGGCTGTAATGATGATGATGACATAGTCGTATGTTCTAGGTGAATAATAATGCAAGGTTAGAGCGAAGCTGCGGAGAGCTGCAGAATATTGACGTCTTAAAACAACTCCAGAGTCATCATTTTTAACTTCTCGTAACAATAACCAACATTATTCTCTAATCCCGTGAATGTCATATCATCACATTAGTACCATAAAAATAACTATCAGCTAGTCATAGTTTATAATACACCTACCTCTATATTGGTATTTTTTAAGTTGGCTAGGTTTTCCTTCTCGATGGCAAATTTGTTATGTAATGCTTCTAATAGTTTTTCAATGCTTGTTATTTTCTTCTTTAATCGTCGGTTTTGACTTTGCAGTCGCTTTATCTTTAAAAATTTTGTTTTTTATTTTTTTCTTCGGACCATCTAAGCATGCGTCTCAATTTTTGTTTTCTTGGCGTTGAACACATTAAACTTCCCTCACCTTCGTTGTATCCAACTGTTTTAACTATTAGATGAGTTTTTAATTTTACGCAATTTTGTTCATTTAACATTTCACTGTCTGCGTTTTGCGAAAACATGTGCTTCGCTTTTGTTTCGTAAAATTTAAAATCACTTTCAGTAAAGTGTTTCGAGCATATGGTGCTACTTTTTGATGGCAACCAGTTTTTCCTGCCAGTTGCCTTAACCCAAGCTTCCTTGATCGAGCCATAGATTTAGGAAACCTGAAAACGCATAAAAGGTTGTTCTCATTGTAAATAATAAATTTCTGATCATAATGTGTGATTTGCATGAGATTATCATTTTATTTCAGGTTCTTTCCACAAGCCATGAGTAATACTAAGCTACTAACTTACTTCTCTGGTTAACAACCTTAATAAAAATGTTCATTAATATTTAATAAGGTGACAGTATCACGCTATGGTTTTCTATACTAAACATTTAATATTTGCACATTTCTATTAATATGGTAGTGAAGAAATAGGACTGAGATAAAATTTTATCGATTTGAATATCGTTACAACACTATCGCAATCTTATGATGAACCTTAGGATAACGGGATTAGGTCGAATATTCGTTGCAATAAAGGCAACTTTATATGTGTTTCATGTTTGTTTACATTTCTTTGCAAAAACAAATAAAATTACACGTACCTGTGATACGAAACACCTCCATTTGAAATATTTATATTTTTGCTTCTGTTTCTACACTCTAATACTGCACAAAACGGCATAATTTCGCATATATTACTAAAGAAGCGATCCGTTAACTCGCGACAATTTCAGCCTGCGACTGACCGACAATTATGTTTATGTTCTACTGTCACTAATTGTGATCCGCCTGCCCCGCCCAGTTTGGGCTTCGGCTTGTTTTTTATATTCCGTGACATGGACACTGCTGGCTTAAGCTAATTCATCTAAGACGCTCCTTGGTAAAAACTTGTCATGCTCGATTATTGTTGTTGTTGTGTACTTCAGGACCTAGAGTATTGGTTCTGATCTCATTTTATATAAATGTAGTGATGTCGTCTTGAACCGGTCACAAACCTTCGTTCAAACTTTCACACGCTTATCACACGTCCTGATGTGATTTGTAATGATAATGAGCTTGTTGTGATATATTTTTCACCGCTCGTGAGTGTAGTCATCATTGTGGAATGGTATGAGGATTTTGGTCAGTTCATTCAATAGCTTTCCACCCTTCAATGGTTACTATCGGTTAGTAGTTGTAGTAGCAATTATTGCTACTACAGCTCATATGTAGGACTGTCTCAAGCTCGACGAATCTCCTAATCATGTACAACATGGAGTTTCACCGTGTAGACACTTTTTGTGTCAGTTTTTTGGAATTTCATTTTCCTCGTCGCTTTGTTGATATTTTATAAAATTTTCTGTGGCTATTTTTCTTAAAGTGCCACTCTAACTTTTACCTTGTCTAAGGTGAACATGACACATAGTATCTTAAACTATTTGGTTCAGGGTCCGTAACATCCGGTGCTTATAACCAGATCTGTGATCACATTTTGCGACGCATTCACGGCGTTATCGCTTATTGCTTAGTTTATCTTTTCCTCAAGTCCCCAATCTTTCGGAGACTCCTTCAAAAAGTTTTTATAATTAAAGGTCGCGATTTTAATAAAACTCTATAATTGTTATATAGCTTTTATAGACGCGCGATGCCCTCATATCTGTCAATATACCTATTTGTGTAACTTCATCTGTAAGGAAACAACGGACTTCTTCACTTGTCCATAAAAAAAGGTACCAATATAGTAGCATATACCCAAGTAGAGTATTTTACGAAAGACCTTTCTTTTACTAAACTAAATGACTGAAAGCCGTCAATAAATAATCTGGATATCTTGGCTTTCTGATCTTTAGAAATCTTTCTAGGAATGAGGCATCTATTTTTCCTTGTCTGTGTTGAGGCTGCAGTACAGCTGATGGCGTCACCGCTGACTTAAAAGGATATCTCTTTAGTAAATACTTGACGCAAAAGCTGGGACACCCACAATGTCCACATCTCTCTAAGATCTAGCAATCGTTTTCTATTCAAATGACACTCGCTTGTATACTTCTTTATGTCGCTGCTGTAAATGTGACATCAAGTTATCTCAAATACAAGAGTGAAAAAAAATCAGTTCCAAGAGGAACTGATTTTTTTTCATATATTGCACTGCGCTTTCTTATTTATAGTATCAGTCGTTTCGAAAAAAAATACTTTATATAATAACTATACATTATATAATAAACATACATGGTTACTGGTTATTCGACCTATTCCTGCTGGGAGATTGTAGGGGTTTAGGTTATTATTGATGAATTAGACCATAAAGTCCCATAGCAAAAGTTTATGAGAAATAATACATTAAAGTTTTTTGTAATATATCGAGGTAAGGTGTTTTAAAAATTAATAAAATAAGTATTGGCAGTAATCAAATTTATAATTTTTTCTCAATTAAAAGACAAAAAGCATTCATTATCAACACCAAAACTGTCTGTTTACATTAGGAAATACTAGACGGAAACATCGTAAATTTTAATTTTTTGATTAAAGAGTTCCAAAAGAATGACAAATAACAAAAAAAAAACACTGAAACATTTGGCGCGCAAAATATTTTAAAAACACGTACTTATTGTTAGCTTTCTAACGAAGTATTTAAACTAAAGTTCGGATACAAAATTACAGAGTTTACAGAAGTATTATCGTAGAAGTAAGAACCAAATCGTCTAATTCAGGGTTGACAGAAATCACCATATTTTAAAAAAAATCATAAAAATCTGATTTATTTGATTTAAATCGTTTTTTACATTCTGTTCTTTTTTAATTTGGAAGCCAGTTATTAATAAAAAAAAACACTTTTTATCATAATTATTAATAAATTAACAAAAAAATTATTTTTATAAATGAACCAGCTACCGAAAAATATTATAAAATTATCAAAAATCAAAAAAGTTCTTCTAAAATCAAACTACTTTTTAAAAAAACAAACACTGACATTTTTGTCATATTTAATAGGTTCCCTGTCCCATGAATCGTATTTGATTCATGGCACAAATTTTGTACCAAGTTTTATACGTTCATGAATCAAATGTGATCAAATGTGTAGGTCAGTTTGCAACAAATTTTTTTAAGGACGTAGCAAGACAAACTGATTTTTAGTACGGGGACGTGTGGGGAATATCATTTAGAATAGGAAAGCAAAAAAAAAATGCAGTGATTTGTCAAAAAATACATATGTTTGGGTAAATAAAAAAATGAAAAAAAAAATGCATATAATCAAGATTTATTTAGAACAGTCTAAGAATATAATTGGATATAAAACTGGGTTAGTAATCAAACTAAGACTATAATTATAAATAAAAATGAAAATTTGAAAAAGACAAACTATTTCTTGTTTTTGTGCACCTCATTATAACACGGCAAGCAATAGCTTTTTTTAACACTCCAGGCACTCTGTGTTTACTTGTTTGGCTTGCAGTGCATTTCCCTCACACTTCCTTTTTGCATAACAAGTGACACAGCGTCGACGTATTAGTTTTCCTTCTCTTCTTGGTATCTGAGTAAGATAGTGTTTTCCTGTAGTATTAGATGAACTTGATGGTCTTGTCTGTACTTTTATCGCAACAACTTCGCCAAGCCATTGACGAATCATGGTCTCTTGAACGTCTAAAATAGTAACACCCGAACCAGTTCATTGAAAATTACTTTTGCGTTGACAATGACCATTTGAAAGAATAAATCAAAAGCAATCTTCTTACACCATGTCATACTCTTTCTTAAGGGCGAGTAGTAGCTACTCAATTTATCAGCTACATCAATCCCTTTGTTCGCTTCATTGTATTCAATGACAGCGTCAGGTTTTGAGGTCTCTCCTCGCCAAGAAGAAACATTTGTCATATCGTCACCATGGTAAGTTGAAATCATTAGAACGTCACGCTTATCGTGCCATTTTATAAATGTTATACAGTTATCCATTTGCCGCGCCACAACTTCTCCTCGTCTCAGTTTTTTCTGTACAACTTCTTTAGGTATATTTACCTTATTCTTGCGTAATGTTCTACATAAATCAGTACGTCGGTCTTTTAGATATTTGGCGAGAGCTGTGCCAGTGTAATAGTTATCGGCTACAATTAGTCTTCCTTCATTTAAAAGCGGCTGACATAGCTTCACCACCACTGATCTTCCTTCATTTAAAAGCGGCTGACATAGTTTCACCACCACTGTCTTCCTTAGCGGCTGATAGCTTCACCACCACTGATCTTCCTTTATTTAAAAGCGGCTGACATAGTTTCACCACCACTGATCCAGGTTTATTAACCCTTTATAACTCAATAAAATATTATTTAATAAAAAGTAGCTGTTAGGGTAGAATTTGGAAAATAAGTAAACACGTATTCTTTAATTTTCATTTTTTTATATTTACCTCACAAAATAAAAATAAATGGAATGTGCCATTACGGGTACATTGCTGCAATGTGTTCCACTACGAAGTATGGAACGTTTTAAAACAATTATTTTGTTTGTTGTTGCATAATGCAACACCACACTTTTCATAAATGGTCTGTGATTTGCCAGAGCAATTAGGGAGCTTGCAACGGATACGTTTTTCGACCCATACTGGCCAGTGACCTACTTGGTCTTGGTGGGCACAGCTGGACCCTTGCGTTTTATAGCCTGGATGTCTGGTTCAATGCTTCGGCGTTGTACGTGTGCTTTTATCCCCATCTTACATAGCACCGTACCAATCTCTTCACGAAAGTCAGCAGATGACAGCAGTGGTCCATTCGTATTCTTGGTTTTATAAACCCTCTTGTACAGTAACCAGGCATTGGACATGACAAGGTCCAGGAAATGATAAAACATTCGAACCTGCCATCTCTTGCTTCGTAGTTTTATTTTATATCTACCCATTATACTATCAATGAGATCGACACCGCCCATGTGGCGGTTGTATTCTCCTACCACGTTTGATCTATGAAAGGTCACATACCTCTTATGGGGCTTATCGTATCTAGATACTTGTGACGTAGTTCACCCACAAAACTGGAGGCAAGTGTGACTATTTTATTGTCCTTCGAGGCCACTGTAGAAATATCTGTTGTATTGTGTTTTCTGACACAGGCAACATACTCGACTGAATAGCCACGTTCTTTTTTGGAGATTTATTTTTCTGCGGGTAGTTTGCAATCAGGTATTCGGTTGTGTCGAAAGGTTCCCAAGCTCAATTTTCCTTGTTTAGCGAAATATTCTAGTAGTAGCAGGGATGTGAAGTAGTTGTCAAAATATAGGCGGTAATTTTGATTGCGTGGTATTTCACGAGCTCGCCTGACGACGACATTTGCTGCATTTTCAGCTCCAGTTTCTGGCTCGAACTTGTAAGCAAACCCGCTCACGCCGCTCAGGACATATATATTGTAGCCCCATTTATGGGGTTTCTTAGGATTATATCTCTTGAGGTTGTGTCTAGCTTTCGTGGAACAAATCTGTTCATCCACGCAGAGATACTTCTCGAACGGGACATTGAGGCAAGTTTCATTTAGTTTCGACACAATTGGCCTGATTTTGTAGAGGCGGTCATGGTCTGCGTGATCGCGAGGAACTATTTTCGAGTTATCGTTGAAGTGAATAAATCGTCTGATTTTTTCGAATTCATTTACCGGCATTGTGTCTTACTAGGTGTTCCTAAACTACTACTCCAATGTTTCGTCACTCTTGGCAGATGTACTAACGATATAATGAAAACCAGACCAATAAATTGCTGGATATCCGTCTCTGTGACCCGAAATGGCATGTTAGTATCTTTTTGCACAATGTAAAGGTTAGTTTGTTTGGCTATTTCTATTCCTTGGAAAATATTTTGAAAAAGAACTGTACCGGACTGTCAAGTCCTAGAAACTCTGCTGGCAAGTCTTCGTCACCTGTAAAGCTGAGTTGCTGCTCATTTAGCTGGAGGTTCTTTTTTTCCAACGTAAATTCAATTTTTGCTTGGATTGACTGCGTCCTGATGATCCAGGTCTAGATGATGATCCTGGATGAGGAAAGGTTTCAGAAGGAGTTGGCGGTTGAGAAGTACTACTTGAATTCTCAATATTTTCAATGATGGTGTCAATATTCACTCCATCAACCTCTTCAAAATCATCGGTGTCCATTGGCACCTCCAAATCCGGAACAAAATCAGGATCTGTAATGCTGTCGTCATCACTATCGAATCCGTCTTCACTTTCTGCATAATCAAAGAGGAACTCCTCTATTTGCTCGTCTCCTAGACCTCTGGATGCCATCCTGTCGCAATAATAAAAAGTGCTCAATGTATGACACTAAATGTACTTAGTAACACAATGTGCCAGAACTAGCACAAACACAAAACGGCAATTATATTCAAAAATTACATAAAACTATTCAATATCTACAATAAATAGCAAATAACATACACTTACCTAGTAAATTCACACCACAAACAAACAGATTTCACAGTTAAAATAATTTTCATCTACATATTTTCAAAACTTACTAAACAAACGTATTCTACGAATCGTCAAATTGTTTGATTCAAATTCGTTTGTGTTGAAAAAGCGCCATCTGTGGGGTATGAACAATACTAAACATTGACGCGCGATATATTCCAAAGCGGGAACACTGTATATTAACCGAAAAAATAATTTGCTTTAGATTTTATATGGAGAAATTTGTTATGTTCCAGTACTGTCCCACGGTGATATAAAGGGTTAAGTCCTTCAATGGCAGAACCAGAACCTGCGCGTATCGTATACGACCATGTGTAACTATTGGTGGAACACATTTTATATATTTTGATGCCGTATTTATGACTTTTAGATGGATTGTATGTTTTTATTTTCAACCGTCCTTGATGGTTGATTTGAGATTCATCGACCACTATTGTGTCAGCGGATACCTATAATTCACGAAAGTTTCGGACCATTTTGTCAACAAGTGGTTGTATCCGATAAAAACATAGTCATTATCAGGCTGCACATCTTCAAAATGCCAACAACGCAGTATGTTTGTCAATCTATTGTATGACATAGATATTTTGTGAATAAAGTCACAATAATACAAAGGATCCATCTTCCAGTAATGTTCTACAGAAGGTTTTTTATCAGTTTCCATAAAGAGTATGATCCCGAAAATCTTTTTCAGTTCTTGTCTGTCTACATCGACCCATCGGGACATTCGTGAAAATTGTTTTGTTCGTACTCTCTTGAAAATCTGGGCATAGGAGTTAGTTTTTTCTACCATATAGTCAAATAAATCGTCGTTTATAAAATATTCCATGATTTTCTGAATTGTGACGGTACCCTCTTCACCTGTCACAGCTTCAAGATTCTGTAGACCAGAATTTCCTATGAACTGCTCTCTTCCTTTTGGAAGAATGAATTCTGACCACTGCGTACTAACTATATTATCACTGTTATCGCCTTCTGGCTGAGCACGTTCATTGTCAACTTCCAAAAAATTCTCTTCTGGAATACCAAAAAAAAAATTCTCTTACCGGCGACAATTCTTGTGTGCTTGATCTCGATACTACTCTTTCAATATTGCCTATTCACTCGTCTCCGCTTTCATCCTCAACATCTTCATCCGGCACAAATAGTTCGTCACTTCCATCACTGAAATCGCCCTTGTCCCTTTCCTCTAAAATTCTCAGTAACTCTTCTTCTGTGTAAAATCTGGATCCCATTTTCCACGCATAGTAAAAAACAATAGCTTCAAAAATCAAATTTCTTCATCAAATTCAAAACCTTAGAAAGAAAGGTTATATTTACGACTGAATGAAATTGGAATAAATCACAGATAATAATAATATAATTATGTGTGATTTATTCCAATTTCACATATTATGTCACGTATGTCACATATTATGTCACATATGTCACACATGTAAGAACATTGACATATTATGTCAATGTTCTTATAAGTTATTTTTCCACATACTAAAAAGACAATAAACATCTGATTGCCATCTACTTAGTACGTCCAGTATATCAAATGTGATGCATATTCTAGAAGCTTCTAGAAGCTTAGTTCTTTGTTTCGACACTAGATGGCGCTGTCGGTTGAAAGATTAGTGATGTCATTTTCTGGGAAGTCCCCCCCGCTCTCGTCCCTGATACAACATGACATCAACTTAGGCGCGCAACAATATCATAAATGATTCATTGAACGTTCAAAGTAAGAATACGATACGACATGTTCATGATACATGAATATGATACATGATTCATATGATTCACACATTTTACTTTTTTTTTATTAGAGCCAAAAAAAGTTTAGGAACATCTAAAACATAAAACTACTCTCTAAAAATACAAAAAGACAAAGAATTTAAAATAAAAGGATGGGACATTTACGATGCCAAAAAGTTAATTGTATGGGGACAGGGAACCTGTTAATGAACAAAGAAATTACTAAGTTTAGATTTTCAAAAGGAAGTCGAATTTGGCCGCCTTCTCGGTGCGTAATCTATTTCTTATTTTGCTGTGCATCAAATTGAATGCCGAAAATATTCTTTCGAACCCAGCGGAAGAAGCAACAGTACATAGCAGTTGCTTGATTATATCCAATTTTTCTTCGGTTATACATTTTTCATATTATGTATTGCTACCCACCAATCAGTAGGGGTAGTTTTCTATATAACTTGTGTATCGAATAATACTCCCGTAAAAGGCTGAACTTTTGCGTCCAAACGAATAATGCTACTCATCAAACTGATTCCAGTTTCTCCATCATTTTTTTGCAAAAATTGTAAGGCTGCATCACTTTCATCGGTCGACAACTTTTCTTGGGGCAGTTTTGGATTAACCATGTAGTTTGGATAATGTAAGCTGGTGTCATGACTTGGCGGTACGGATATATGACAACAACCTTCATTTGGATCATGTTTAGTTCTTCCAGTTGATCTATTAATTCTTTCCTGATAAGAACACTATCTAAAATTGTCTAGAGCTTTGGATATTGGATCGAGTCGTGCCAACAGATCCTCTGCATTTCTTTTAATATTTATATTTTGAATGAGGTTTCTGATGTTAGAGCCAATTTCCACCTTATTTTCATCTGCTATTTGCATCAATGTCGGCCAGTTTTTAATATAGCTCTTTAGTGAATCACACATTGTGTTCGATCTCACTTCTTGCGGCATTAGGAAACTGTTCGCCCTGGTGAGTGAATATTTAGCATGCGCGAAATGATTATTTCTGAACTACTTGATTACTTCAATTGACAAGAATACAGTTTTATTCTCTAAATCTGATTTACATTTATTTTGTTGTTCCTTGAAAATATCATAGAGCAGCTTACCACCAATATCAAGTCGATTTGGAGGAACTTAGCCAGGATGCAACATACTTATCAATTTCTTGTACTTCTCGTGATTCGCGTGCAGAAAAGGATTATAAGACGCATAAAAATACCTCGCAACTTGCAAATCAAAAAGATGTTTTTGCGTAGCATTTGTTTCGATTACGTAACCATCTAGTTTTTTTGGGCTAAATAAGCGCTGCAACATAAATTTTCTTAGTTACTCTTTCCTCATTCATTCTTTCCACATGACCAAACCACCGAAGCATTCCTTTCTTAATCCTGGTCACAACATCATCTTGCAAACCACACTCTTCTCTTATTACACAATTACTTACCCTGTCATTCAGATTCAGCCCTAACATACTCCTTAACGACCGCATTTCTTCTGCGTTCATTCTACTCTCGTGCTTCTTCTGCCACACCCAACTTTCACTACCATACGTTAAAGTAGGGACCAACACAGCATTGTGAATTGCCATACGTGCCGTTTTCGACACATTTTGACTCTTCACAATAGAGTGCAGGGCCCCATTTACTCTATTTCCCGCATTCACTCGTCGTTCTATATCCTTATCATATCTCCCATCAATAAGTGAGTGGCAGAGTCGGAAAGGGACGTCCTAGGCGAAAATTTATCGACCAAATTGGCGATTTATTGAAAACGGGCCAAATTAGGAGTATACCCCTTAACCGACGAGCATGTATGCGTAGGTGTATGGATGTGAAGGAGGCGAGAGAGGTGTGTCAGGATCGTGCCAAATAGAAGTCTGTAGTCTCTGCCTACCCCTCTGGGTGACAGGCGTGAGTGTTTATGTTTTTATGTTATGTTTAAATAAGCGCTGTGGTTTGCTTTTGATGAGGAACCTAGCAGAAGACTGAAGGGCGATTCCGCTATCGCGGGTGCAACGTTTTGACGCATGTAAAGTTTCATAATAATAAAATAAAAAACATTTTAAATAAAATTATTCCTGTAAGAGCTACTTTTCAACAAGTTTAATTTGTATTTTATTACATGAATTTTATTAAAAATATTTAAGTATTTAAGAAGGAGGTTCAAAGTCCTATCGCGGGTGCAACAAAGTTGACCGAACCTTCCTAGATTATAAAACAAAACACAAAAATCTGTTAATTGTGAAACATTTTTTATGTTTTGCTGTGATATTTCGCAATGAGTTAAACTAATGAACTAAACAAATAATAAATATATATATACATAAAACAAAAATAAAATAAAATTATTGACTTTTAAAGCAATCGCGGGTGCAACGTCAAATTATCGCGGGTGCAACCCGTTTAATTTAAGTGAATTCAAACAACAATAAAATCTTATCGAGGAATGAAATATGAGAGCAAACAATACATTAATAATTATTACATTTATTTGTAACTTATTTTAATTATTTCTATTCAAATACGTCAATATTCGCTGAAATTCTTATGAATTTATTTTTTCAAAAACAATGTACATTTGAGATGAGACAGTGAAGTTCGCGCCACGGAAATACCATCATCGCCATTTTCAGGTTGAAAGAAATGTTTTGATTGAATGCCTGGTATATTTTTCAATCCTTTCCATTTATCATCTTACATGGCCATCCTTTCTGTAACTTCTTCTTTTGCTACGAATAAAAAGAAGATGTTTTTGGAGAGACTGCGTGCAAAATCATAGAATTCTCGGGCACTGTTTACGATGGCTCTCCGGGACTTGACAGAAATCCATACCAATCTTTTGACACTTCCACTGATTCCATCAACGGCACCTTTACCATGTGAGGCAACGAAAAAGTTCCATTTGAGGTGAGTAAATCCATATTCTGCTTTAACAGTATTCATGCTTGCCATCCCATACCGGTTCTTGAATTGAGCGGCGCAATTATCACTGAAGATACACACAGATGTAATGCTATCAGAGATCGACTTGATGTACTCAAATATTTTCTTAAGAAGGAGATGCACAGTATATTTACTGTGGCTTAATTCATCACTTATTATGACCACTGAATGGATTTTCTCAGTAATCCAAATACAGCACGTGAAAAGTGTGACTTGTTCATGAGACCAATGTGCTGATTGTATTTCGTCTTGACTGATCAGAGCATATTTCTGGGCAAAGTCTATTTGTACAATAGCCTTCGCATTGGTCAGGTCTTGTTTTGCGTTTTGAAAATAATCGGACTGAACATTTTTAACAAAAGAATGTAACTTGAATTTAGCAGTGCTGTCGTGTAGTTCTTCTAGCGCTTCATTAAAGGGTTTGCTAATTACAATCTGTTTTGGTCTTTGATTCTGAAAGATCCAGGCCTTCCAATTAATAGTGGGATTAGAATCGAGGGTGATATTCCAAAAGTTGGATTCTTTGCATACATCACAACCGCTGGACATGCAATCTTCGTTCAGTACACTACATGATACCTTTTTAAGAAGATCTTGGTGTGTTTTTGGATGTCTGCCGCGTATTTCGAAATAGCAAGAAGAAGATTAATGTAATTTGTGTGAACTATACACACGCAAACATTATGAGGAGTATCCTTGATAGGCAGAATATGACCAGGTCTTTCTTTATAAAAAACAGTCTTGCCAAGAGATGTTTCGGGATAAGTTTCTTTAAAATGTTCGAAGGCTTCACGAATGCTCATAATCATTGATCTCTTCTGGATTCATGACTTCGTTCCCGTATTGGACATGGATTGTTTTCACATCTTTCATCCCAGGAATTTGTCTTTTTTGTCTGTTGTTTTACTTGATGCCTAATACACCAGCGCGGCGAGATATCCTGCCGATTGTTGTAGGTAAGACGTAGATCCACCCACATAACATTATTCATAAAATAAATTGTACGACAACCAAATATAATACTAATTATTCTGGCGCCGATACGCATCTAAACAGGCTGTTAATAAAAAAAGGTAAAAAAGTATGTTACCCGCGCACCGCCTACTTGGTAATACTACGTAAATGTTACGATTGCGATCGATTTCTGTCGCACATGTTTCTAAATGTTTTTTTCATTTTCGCTACTAAGCCCATTAATTCCTTCTTACAACGTTTACACATCGCTTTATTAAACTTGCCACAAGCGGACTTTTTCATTGAAATAGGGTTTATTTCGATGAAAAAGTACAGTATACAGCATATTTTTTTCTTCCAGACATCTTGTTGTATTCACTTTCACTAATCAATCACGAATGAACGACCAGGCCAAAGGATTCGGTCGCGTGTTTTCACTTCGGGGAATCCTCGAACGATGTAGGTAAATAGGACTATGATTAAGTCGGGGAAGTCCCTTGACATTGATTTAAATCATTGATTTTAATTAAAAATCACTTGATTTTAATAGCGATTAAAATCAGTGATTTAAATCAATAGATTTAAATCGTATCAACCCTTGTCTAATTACACTTTAATCAAAACATTCAATTATGTAATTAACATTAACTTGGACTGTATCAATAAGTGTTACAAATTACAATTAGCTGGTCACATCCCACTGCTGGGCAAAGGCCTCCCCCTGGATTACAATTTTTTTTATAATTCATGCTAAACATGACTCCTTTTGTTCCTTACACAAAGACGCATTCTTTTTCTTAATTCCGTTTTTACTACGAAGGTGACACTGAAAGTTCTTAGAAAATCAAAAACTGAACAAACTAGCAAGTTATTAGTTTTATTATATCTTTTCAATATAGTGTCCAATGTAGTGTGTTTTCAATCCGATGGAACCACAGAAAAGCACTTTGCCCACACGTCCTTAGGAGTCTTCGACGGCATTTTGAAACGCAGCTACTGCTTCGTCGGCGTCCATAAAACGTTTTCCTCGAAGGTTTTCTTTTATTTTTGGAAATAAATAAAAACCGCATGGTGCGCTGTCGGAGCTATAGGGCGGATGGCCTAGTAATTCCACGTCTAACATCGTCAAGTAGTCGATTGTTTGCTTAGTGGTGTGCGACGATGCGTTGTCGTGGTGAAGGAGGTTCCTACTACGAGGTTGCTCGGGAACTTTTTCCAATACAAGTGGCAAACAATTGTTAGTTTACCACTCTGCTGTAACTGTTTTTCGATCCTCTAAAACAATTGTTGCGTAATGACCTGTCCTTTCGAGGAACAGGGCCACCATCTTTTTTCCCACGCTTCGACCCCTCTTTACTTTAGTTCACAACTCCTCGGAAGGAAACACCCAGACAGCAGACTGTCTCTTAGTTTTAGGATCACAACAATAATTCCAGCTTTCGTCACCCGTTAGTATGTCGAACACAGCATTTGAGTTACCTCCGTTAAACCTTTGAACCATTTTACGACACCAATCAGACGGAGTTTTTGGGCCTCTGTCAAATTATAAGGTATTCACCGTCCACAAAGCTTCCTGACCGCTAAATGGTCATGGAGGATTTTGCGCACTTTACTCATACCGATGCCTAAGGTGTGCGTCCCCCCAGAAAGCCCAATCGAGCTAGGTGTATTTTCAATATATCAGAATTTAGAGCAAAAATGGAGCACCTCTACAGTCAAGTAAATAAATTGGAGCATTAATACGAACGACGCTGCGAGCTAAAAACCGTGGGCTTGCTGGCGTCCTGTCCCGTCAGCACGCCCAAGCTAGATCTCGGGAACCGTTGAGAGTACTATCGTGTATTGTGGTTCAAATTTTCGAGCAAAATTGGAGCACTCTGCTCCCGTGAAATCAACTTCGAAACTAGAATGTGAAAGGAGTTAGACGTGATTAACCGGTGGGCTTGCTGGCGTCCTGTCCCTTCAGCAAGCCCACGCAGATCTCTGAAACGGTAAAAAAACTATACAGATGAGCCCTATTTAGAGCACTCTGCTTCAAAAAAAATATTAATGTAGCTTCAATAGTTCTCGAGTTACAGGCCTTTGAAAACGTGCTTGCTGGCGTCGCGTCCCGTCAGCAAGCCCATTTGGAGCGTGGAAACTACTGAACGGAGAGTCGTCAAAATATCTCAAATCGTAGCTTAGAACTATGCTCCAAATAGATCAAAATCCTAGGTTCTACGGTTTTCGCGCTATCAGCGAAAAACACTTCAGCCCGCGACGTTGCCGTTCCGTGCAACAAGCAAATGAACGCTTCATTTTGCCGTTGGTGTACACGAGAATGAACCTTCCGATGGTTTATTTAAGAGTCTCTTTACTTGCAATCCTAAGATGACTTGTAGTTTATGTCTGAAATAATAGACCTGCAGCTATCGTTGCTAATTCGACATTTGTAATCTTCTTGTAAGTTCATGTAAAAGTAAGCTTGTTTACCTACTCCCTATATTGAAATGTTACCTAATAATATTTCATTTGATGTGATGTGAGTCAGCACAGCATCATTAAGGGCCTACACGAGCCATAATGGCGCCGCCATTAGTTAAAAATAATTACTCACGTAAGTAGTACCTACTTTTAAACGAAAACTCAGTTTTAAAGTTAGGTATTTATTTAGAAACAATCAATCGGCAAAATATAGAAAGCTGTGTAATATTTATTATTTTTAACTGAGAAATTATTTTTTAACTGATGGCGGCGCCACTTAGGCCTTTGAAGTTGTGATCTTAATAGAAGTGTTGAAATAAAACAAGAAACATACAAATGTGTAAATGTTATAATTGTTACAAATCAGTCTTGTTTATAAATTAGAATAGGTAAGGTGCCTGAAGGTACCTTTCGCACCTTTGCTGCTTATAAAACAGTCTTAATCATCAACATTTGGTTTCTTATGTTACTTTACTACGATTATGATTAAATAAATATAGCGTTTCATTTATTGTAGTGTTCCTATTACGTTTTTTCCAAACATGTTGAATTAAAATTTAAAATAAATTAACAGACAATGGTAACAATAGGTAGGTATTATGCTTAAGCATAGTTATACAATAATTTTTATCACATTTTTGGTCATAAAATGGCACTAAAATTATGTAAAGTTTCATGTGCACAATCACCTCTTTATTTGTGTCCATTTCGCTATAATCCTCACTTTTGAAACCTTCATGAAAATCAATTTTGAGTAGGTATGCCAAAAAATAGTCATGAAATAGTCGTGACCACAAGCCGAATCTCGAAAATAGTCCAACGATTCCAGAGTTATAAGGGTACCTTGGTGAGGATTATAGCGACATGCTTTTTCGGTATAATTATCACCTGTTTTCAGCTAAACGTTTACGGATTTCAGTATAAACTTGGTATCAAAAAATAGTCCGGAAATAGTCGTCCCAAACGATATAAATTTCGACCTGGTTTACTCTGTATAAGTATGTTAAAAACCCATGTAAACTTCTACATACATTTGTCATGTCAAGTAAAATCGTGCACAAAATCATTACCTATCTATTAGTGGTTATCTATTTCGTTATTGTTTTAAGTTGAAGTAGCCTATTTGTATATTCATTTTAGGTATTTTAAGTATGTGTTCTACTTACATTTGATCTTCAGAACATCATGTATTCAGAATTCGTGGCACTTTAAATCAAATAGACGGTTCAAATTTTTATTTGATTTCATCTATACTTGTTAAAGTAGTTATAATAAATACTAGTTAATTAATAAGTAAGATAATCACTTCAGCTGGATTAAACCAATAATGAATAGATTTGAAATTTTTGTATACGCGACTGTACCAAAACAAATTGTATGTAGAAGTTTACATGGGTTTATAACATACTTATACAGAGTAAACCAGGTTGAAATTGATATCGTTTTGGACGACTATTTCCGGACTATTTTTTGATACCAAGTTTATACTGAAATCCGTAAACGTTTAGCAGAAAACAGGTGATGATTATACCGAAAAAGCATGTCGCTATAATCCTCAACACACCTTTATAACTCTGGAATCCTTGAAGGACTATTTTCGAGATTCGGCATATGGTCACGACTATTTCACGACCAGGAGTAAAACAAAATGTACAAAATTAATGCGGATTTCATTTCTTAAACACTATATCATTTACATGATGACCGTTTTTTTGTACGCACTCCTGTAGTCGGACCCTTACATTTGTAATCACGCGACAGCAAAGCTCTGGAGTAATGCTTTGAACTTCACGACGAATATTGGCCTGCAGGGCTTGAATTGTCCGGGGATTGTTCTCATAGACCTTCGATTTAAGGTATCCCCATAAAAAAATCACAGGGCGTGAGGTCGGGTGACCTGGGCGGCCATGAGATGTCTCCGTATTTGCTGATCAGTTTATTTGGAAAAATTGTTCTTAACTTTTCCATCGACACCCTAGCTGTATGCGGAGTGGCACCGTCTTGCTGAAATTGTGTCCTATTGTTATAACCTGCATACAGCTGTAATTGCGGTAGCAGAAATTCGTCTATCATACGGCAATACACCGGAGCAGTGACTGTTTCTCCTTGGTTAAAAAAATAGGGCCCAATTACACCGCTAGCCGAAATGGCACACCAAACTGTGGTTTTCAAGCAATGTAAACGTTTTTGGTGGCG